AGTCTCCAAGGGCACAGAGCAGCTATTTATTTAACAAGTAATTATTAAATCACCACGATATATCAGGTGCTGTTCTGGGCACTAACGGTACAGCAGTGAAATAGACATGTTCCTGAAGCTTACATTTTAGGGGGAAGACCAGATAATAAACATACAAACATAAGTGCGATATAATATTAGGTCATAAGTATTATGATGAAAAATGACGCACGTTAAGGGAATAGAAAGTGACTGGGACCGATATTAGATTGGGAGGTCTCTGAGGAGCAGACATTTAAATATAGACCTGAATAGGGCCAGCCGAGTGGCGTGTTGGTTAAGAGTTGGCTTGGGAGGCCAGCTCTGAGCAGTAGGGCCCCAGTTCGGATCCCACATGGGCCAGTGACACTGCCCTCTACAGCTAAGATGGTGAACAACAGCTCGACCTGGAACTGGGCTGGCGTGAGTCGCTGGCTACAGCGTAGGCTGCAGCCCCTGCTGCAGTGGGCTGCCATAAGCTACCATGAGCGGCTGGCAGCCAGCATGAACGGCCGTCCAGAGGCCGGCGACCGATCTGCCTCAGCCGGGAAGAGCACAATGATAATACCAACATGGGCCAGTGAAGCAACATCCTCCACAGCTAGACAGAAGAACAAAAGGACAGCAACTTGTCTGTTCTCCTCCCCCAATCCCCCAATAAAGTCTTAAAAAAACAACAACCCTCTGATCTCACTTTGTAGGTGAGGTTTAAAGATCAGCAAAATCTTGTCCCGTTTTTCTTTCCCTATCAAATCCTGTTCGCCTTTCAAGGTCTAGTCCAAGTGCCAGGTCCTCCACAGAGCCTCCCTGAGTCACCAAGAACTAATTCATCACTCTTTCTCCTGGGCTCTCATTGTCACGTGTGTCTCTAATATTACATCATCCTAACCTGAATCACAATTAACATTTTACATTTCTGCCTCCCTCACTTGGGTCTTGTTGGTCTTTCTGATCACACTGTGCAGGACAAATAGGACGTGCTCCTTAAATGTTTAATGAAATGAACTCAGCTGTAGCTCCCCATCTGTACTTAAGGACTTAGCTCTTAACATCCCTTTAAGCCATGGCGTCCGTGTTGGGGGGTGGAAGTAGGGGGAGATGAAGGAATTGTCTGGTCCAGGGAGAGTAGAAGGTGCCAAAGACCTGCTGGGCCTGGGTGGAAGTGGGGGCGGCATTGGTGACTCCAGTTAAGACTCATGTACATCCGCCAAAGTTGCTGGTCGCTGGCGTGGATTTCCTGCCTCTAGGTGCTAGTAACTGGTCGGGGGGTGAGGGCTGGTAGGTCACCATCCCTGTTTCAGGGGAATGGGGTTTCTTTGTGTCACCAAACGCGAATGCTCCCATGGGGATCATGTAAGGCTTTGACAGTGCTTGGGAACAAGAAGCGCAAACCAGGGCGGGAACATCAGCAGGCATAGGAAGGCTCCGTGTTGTGGGGGAGGAGGGGCTTGTTTTCAAGCAGTTCAGGGGCGACTCCTCTGTCTCAGTTACGGAATTTTTCCATCCAAGGCCACTATGCGAGGCTTTTGATAAGACTTGTTTGTGTGTGTGTTTCTCCTTTCTATGTTGGAAAAACTCAGCTATTCCAGGCGCTTTTGTCAGCAGCTTTTTCTCCTCAGCCAGAGGGAAGCCTCCAAGCCGCAGCCGCTTACATTCCAGCACTAAGCCAGCTCCGGGTTCATCGCTGTGGCAGGAAGCCATGGACCGGGATTGTGACAGGCCAGCAGGAGCAGAGTGGCCTGGATGACCTCACGGGCTACCCCTGCTCCTACCTCAGCCCACCACACACACCCCTCTCTCTCCTCTGGGTCTCTGTCTTGTTCCTTTCATTTCTGCTCCTCCCGTCATTCTTTCTCCTTTTCCCTCTGTTTCCCTCCTAATCTCTTTCCTTCCCCATCTCTCCCTCCATCTTTCTCTCCTTCCTTCCCACCCTCTCTGTTTTCCTCCCTCCCTCCCTCCCTCTCTGTCTGGCAAAGGGTACAGGGAAAGGACCCAACTGTTTCAAGTGCCTGCTATAATTCTGATCTTCCAAGGAAAATAGAATTGAAGCTACTTCGGGTCATTCTGGCCCGTTCCTTACCACCTCCCATTGGCGTTGCCTGGCTCAGGATCTTTTGTGAGATGGAAGCCAGGAATCCCACCCTTCACAAAATCATGGAAGCAGTTTGGAAGTGAGCCCCAAATGACCGGTGCTGGCAATCCTTGGAGGCCTTCCCTGCTGAAGTGAGGCAGGCCCATGAGAGCAAACGGTGGGTCCAGTAGGAGAGTGGGCAGGCCATTGTGGAGATCTATCCTGTCCCTTAGACTGGCTGCCCTGCCTCAGCTGTAAGAGTCGGGGGTGGTGCCAGTTCAGTGGATCGGCCTATGCTGGGCCCAATTTCACATGTCCTCTGTGGGACATTTGCAAACTGCCTCCGTGTTCTCAAACTTCAGCTTGTGTAAGAATCATAGCGTGATGCGGGGGAAGCTCATTAACCATGCAGGATCCTGGGCCACACCCTTACCGACTGGAATCAGGAGGTAGGTGAGGTCCCAGAATCTGTGTTTTGAACCTAGACACCAGCCCATGGAAAGGAAACTACGTGGGTTCTGAGACACAGAGACGACAGCCCTGCAGTGTCAGGGTGCAGGGAGCCGCACCAGGCCCTCCAGAGCTGGGTGCACTTCCTGCCTGGGGAGCTGGGATGTGCCCCTTATGTTTTTCCAGTTAGTCCCTCTTTTAACTTGAGCCAGCCTGTTTTAAGAGGCCATGAATCTGACTGCTGTGTGAACATTTCCCAGATATTTACAACAGATCTGAGCGACTGACAGCCTCTCCGAGGCAAGCGCTTCTGTTTTTTGACCCGCCCTGCACAGGGGCCTCAGAGCCACAAGAGGTGGGTAGGGAGGGTGGGAAGAGATCTCACATTGCGTTTCGGACACTCTTGGAAATATCTAATCTATTCCTACCCATAACTTTGAAAGAGATCATCTCCATTTTACAAATGAGTAAACTGAGGCACAGTGTTTCAATCCACCCTCCAGACAAGGTACATACTAAAAAGAGGTGTATCTTTAAAGTACCAGTTGGACTTGACCTAAAACCTGTTCCTATGGGTCCCTGGGGAAAAGCCCACGTTCCTCAGCGTGGCCTGTGAGGACCCCTTGGGTCTGGCTCCTCCCTTTCCTCAACATCGACTTCCTACTTCTACTCACTGTCCAGTGACATGAATACTTGTAATTCCTTCCATGCCAAGGCTGGTGCTGTTCCCACTGCCGGGGATGCCTGCCATGCCTGCTTTGGTAGGTAACTCGGTTTATCTGCCAAGCCCCCACCCTGGAGTCACCTGCTCCCCAAGTCCATCCCAAACACCCTCCAGGGCTGAACAAAGCACCCTGCCCTGTGATGCCGGTGACAGTGGTGTGATACTGCACTGGAGCTGTGCGTTCCCATCACGGCACTCGCCTCGTGATACTGAAATGCCTGACTCCCCCGACGTGAGCTCCTCAGGGGCAGGCAATGCATCTTAGTCACTTGGCTTACTGCAGGCACTTACTTCATGTCTGAGGAACTGAACAGGCTCTTCATTGTGTTATATTAGGAATCACCACAAAGAATGGTGAGGGAAGTTTAAGAGGTCTTCAGGCACCTGAGGATCTTACAGGGTTCTTCTGGCCATGGGCCTTGTTCCAGTCCTTCATTCCCTGCTGAGATGGAGTCAGAAGCTCTGCAGAAGGTTAGGTGGGTGGAGGCACCCGCACTAGTGGCTCTGCCCAGCACAGGAACAAACTGAAGCCTTTGAGTATGTCCCCTGCTAGGCTTTGCTCATGAGATCACAGAGCCTGGATCATATCATCCCCCAACAATCTGCACTTGGCTTTCAGGGATCCTCTGGCTCTCTTGCTGAGCTCCACCAAACACATGGGGTCCAGAGGGAGCCGCGCTGCCAGGGAAAACCCACTGTGGGACTTCCCTGCAGGGCCATTCAAGAGCCAGAAAAGCCTGAACTCACGCTGGCAGAGCCGACCATAGGTGGTCCAGTGCCCAGGGGCCTCAAGGCAGCAGTTGGCTCCTGGATCCCCAGAATCAGAACCCACTGGGCTTAAGTGACCCATGGGCATGAGGCCCAAATGGCACACACAAAGCCACTTAGGCCTGATGTACGCAAACCCCCAGCAACCCTCCCCTAGATCATTAGAGGATGCTGGCCTTTCTGTAGAGAACCTGCACAGAGAATATCAGATGCCAGGACTCAGCCTTCCTTACTTCTGTCCCAATAGGTCAGGCAGAGGAGCCGCTGAGGACGTGGATGCAACAGAAGGTTGTGCAGGAAGTATTCCTGGGGTTACCTGGGGTTAAGCGTAATATTGTCTTCATGCTTCAAAGCACAAAGTAAGGCTTCTCACTGGCCTCCCGCCCCTGTTGGGGCTACTTTATTGCATGCCCCCTCCCCCTAATCCCTCTAGGCCGGATAGATAGTCCAGCTCTGGTTAAGGGACCCTGGAGGGACTAGAGGGGAAAGACTAAATTTGCACAAATTTGAATGCCTCATCCAGGTACCATTCTAACTTCTAGACAAAATGAGGGAATGCTCCAAACAACCCACAGCAGTGCTTGAATCCAATATTTAGGACACAGCCTGTGTTTTGAATAGTGGTGGGGGATGGGGGAAAAGGAGTAGGCACTTAGATGGTGGATTTGAGGTTAAAAAAAAAAAGACCTTCTTTCTACCCAGGTTTCAGGCCCGTTATACAGCTTCCAAAATGACAGGAGTCAGAAGAAATGGGAAGGCAAGCCTTCCAGCTGGAGGCCACCTTCCTCGAGCTTTACCGTGAAATTAGGGCCCATTTAGGGGAAAGGTAGGAGTCAGGAAGTGACCAGTCCCAGCTTCATTTCCCAATCCCTCTCCTCACAGATCCCAGCCCCGGGCCTCTGGATGCCAAGCACACCCAGCTGAGATCCTTCCTCTGTGACACACATAGCCCAGTGAGAGCCACTCAGAAATAGAAAAGAAGTCTATGTTTATTCCACTTCTTCAAGGTGCAGGCCTTTTATCTCCTCAGGGCTCTGGACTTATAGGCCTGTGCTAATTGCACGGCTACTACTGACCCCAGCTGGCTGCATAGCTCAGAACCTGGTGGTGCCTCAGAGGGAGAGAAGAGGAAAAGAGTCCCTGGACAGTGGCAACCGGCCTTCACCACCCATCCTCTCAACGTCAGGCTCAGCCGGACCAAGAGCAGAAGGAAAACCAGGCTCCGTGATGGCCAAGTGTGGTGACCCTCAGAAATCACAGGAGAGAGAAGATTGTATGTTCAGTGAGAAACACCTTAAGGGAAAGGAAGGATTGAGATTAGGTTGCTTGACCCAGCACCCCGCGGAACCCCCAGAAGGCCTCCTCTTTTGTTCCTTGAGGAACGAAGCTCTGTAAACCAGAGGGGTGCCTGGGAGGCTATTGCAGCCTCTTCTCCCCAGGGCCTGGTCAGGCTCACCCCTACATGCCAGGGCGATGGAGGAATGCTACCTGAGCCTGCATAAGATACAAAGGTCAGCACAGGCAGTGTGGGTCCTGACAGAGACTGTCTGGTCTCCCAGGTGCTGCCTGCTGCTTCCTGCAGAAAGGCAGTGGAAGGTAATGCTGGTGACATCTCCCAGCTGTCGGCCGGGAGGGAGGTAGGCTGATGAGATGGGACCACGGTTCGTCTTGTGTTGGGTCCCACAGTGCAGGCAGGAGCACAGTGTTTGAATGATTCTAATGCTTCGGGATTAGAAGCTTCGGGCGCCCCACGGAGCTCAGACATCAGGAGCCGATTGGACCCTGCCTAATCTGTAATAAAAGGCACAGGTTAGCTTCTCCCAACCAGGTGAGGAGCCTGCAGACCATACCCCAGGGCCAAACACAGCTTTTAGGAGCTCTGAGCCATTTGAGTCCTCAGCTCTCCTGTGGCAGCCTCCGTGTCCCTGACCAGAACTCTGGTTCTCATCCCTGACTACACATTAGAGTTACCGGGAAGCTTATAAAAACCCCCCACCCCAGGTCACACCCAGAGCCTCTGGACTAGACCCAGGCATCAGCACTTCTAAAAGCTCTCCTGGGAATCCAATGCAGGAATATTAGGAGGGGAAAGGAATTCACATGGTTTCTTCAGGCTCTCTGGCTACAACTCTGAAAAAGGAAGTGAAAATTCACTAAAATAAGGTTTTGAACTATCTCTAAATAGGCAAAATATCACAGCAAGAAAAATGTAAGTCAGTGCTAACATTAGAACTTCCTGCCTGTGAGGGCTGTTTTGGAAAGGCTTTCCGAGAAGTTATGGCATCTGTTCTTTGTGGGTATTTAAGAGGATGCATTCTCCCCTTGCTGGAATGGGACGCGAAGAGACGCTTCCTCAACCCAAGGACCTGAAACTCTGGGGACGCCACCAGCTTTGCTTCTTCCTCTCTACCTCGTGACTAAGCACCAACATGACTGTTGGGAAGATGGACACCTGTCATCAAACCTGGCCTCAATTCCAGCATCCCAGATTGCCGTGGCCTCCGGGAATCACCTTCCACTTGGCGAGTCTTGCCCTCTGGGCGCCCTCTCCTCCCGCTCCATCACATTGCAGATCTCATCCTATTTAATCCCTGCCACGAGGTAGGCACCATTATTCCTCGGTAGCAGAGGGGGGACTGAAGTTCAGAGCTGAACAAGCCTCCCAGGGTCATGCGGTTGGGAGAGAGCAGAGTCAGGAGTCAGGTCCTGGTGGATTCTCCGCCAGTTTGTTTCACATGCCACTGGATCCCAAATGGGGACGTGCCAGACATAAGGATGACAAGGAGGGCGTCCTTGCCCTCGCCTGCACGAGTATATATGTATGGAAGTAAGCCCACTGACCTTCGGGGCAAAGACCACCCTGGATTCTGAGATTATGCCCTCCCTTCTCTTTGGTATTAAAATGTGCTTTATTAGGTGGAACTGCTAGACGGCAGCTTTTTTCCCCTTCAAATGTGTTTATTTGATTATATGAGAAGTTGGTCACTGCAATTTTCTTTTGTGAGTTTTACTGGTGCACAGAATCCAAAAGGCAGAGCCTGTTGCACTCCTTCAGCACCTTCTCCAGTACCCCTCACCTCCTGACGAGGGAAATCCACTCAGGCGATGAACCAAAGTCACTAGCACTGGGCCTGCAGCTGGGGGTGGGGGTGGGGCCTGTGGGCATCTGCACAGCACAGGGGCCCAACAGGGCCAGAGAAACACAGGCCTCGGGCAATTAGCCCAGGTTCTGTACCTCAGTTTCCTGGTGTGTGAGATGGAGAGCACCATTCTGAGGATGGGTGTGAAGATTAAAGGAGTTGGTATCGGTGAGGCATCAGGCAGAGTCCACATTCACAGCCACAAATCCACATGCCCTGAGCCCCATCTCTGACTGCACTGAGAATGGTCTCACATCAAGGCCAAATGGGCTCTCTTTTGGTACATCCAGTAATTGCTTAAAATTAGATGAAACTTTCATCTCTGACCGCACTATATTCTCAAGACTATAGTGGAAGCCGACACCTTGAGAGGATAGCAACTCACCTGTGGACAGGCCGAAGCGTCAATGTGACTATTTGGAAAATGGACACCTGTCATCAACCTGTGGGGGCAGGCACGGGCACCCTGCACCCCTTGAGGCAAGGGCAGTTTGAGGACCCAGCCCCCCTGGCACACAGCAGGGACTCCTTACCCTTCAATCATGCGGTTGTTGTCCTGCAGGTCAAAAGCCAGCAGCTTCATGTCCTCATAGAGCTCCTCCATGCTGTCCAAGGCAGAGGCAAGAGAGGCAGCTGTGCCTAAGGCCAAAGTTGCTCTGCCCGACCCCTCCCCGGGAGGCCCACCACCAGGCCTCTCTGTATTCCTGACTTCTAGGCAAAACCTCTGAAACTCTAACCTCAGCACCTAGTCCCCTCTCACCACCCCCTTACCCACACACACACACACACACACACACGCACACACACACACACGTCTTTTTCCGGCACTTACTGGAGACCCAGGTCCTTTAGTGAAGAACTGGAATAAGGAGATATCGGGGGTGATGAGGCCTGAGCCCCCTTTATGCTGTCCTGGAGCTGGTGAGACAGCTGGTCAAGGATCTGAAGGGAACCATACTGTAGTCAGAAGGGGAGGCACAGCTCACCTGTGGGGGAGGGAGGTGCTGGGGAAAGGTAAGGAAAGGGTAACAAAGCAGACCCCGCCTGCATCCCTGGAGCACCCAGAATGCTGCAGCCTTTCCCACAAGCCTCCTTCCCATCCTGGGAGCACGGCTGGCACAACCACCTTCACTCATCTGTGCTTGGATTTAATGCTCCCGACGGGCAAGTTCTCCTCTGTCTAACCTACTCCTTATGACACACGAGCTAGGAGCTGCAGAGAAGGAGTAGGGGCAGCCCAGCACCATCTCTGAAAGAACGCAGCTGCTGCGTGTGCCTGTGCCCGGGCAGGGGAGAAGGAGCCACGTTCGGGCTGTCCTAGGAGAAGCAGACCTGTGTTCCTGTTCGCTAAGCCCGCGGCTTCTCCAGCCGCCTGTGTGTTGGTCTCTTCCCAGAAAGCAGATCAAAAGGTCAAGGAGAGTTCACATTGCCTCTCTCAGGAGTGGCCTCTCTCAGGAGTGGCTACATGGGGCATGAGGAAGATGTCCCAGCATTCTGGTGGCTCTGCCCTTGCAGTGACCTTCAGCCCGAGATCACCAGAAAGTTCCTTCCACCCTCTCCATCCTCACCTCAGGGCACTGTTGTGGGTCAGACCTCCAACCCACACCAAAGCCCTCACACTTGGTCAAAGGCAACTCTGCCCAGGGGCAGGGGAATGGCTGGAATGCCCCCAGAGTACCCGATTCACCTGGCTGCCCTCAGCATCCCCAGATCCCCCGGAAGATCTCGCACCTTGCTGAGGCTCTCCTGGAACCCCTGGGCTTCTGTGCTGTAAGCAGCCACGGAGCAGCCGACCAGGCGCAGGCGATTCCTGGCCTCATGTACCGACCTCAAGAGAGCAGGTAAAAAAATCAGTGTCCGGCTTACTGGCTCTTGCCAGAGCCCACCCAGCTGTCATTTGAGCCGCCACACAGACACAGAGGAGAGGCTTTCAGACAACAGAGGCCAGAGCCCATGGGTCCCAAGCATCTGCCTCCCTTACTGCCTCTGTCTTTTTAGGTGTGCCCTCAACACTCGCCTGTCCCACAGTAAGAATGCTCATACTCTGACTGAGGCTGATGAGGGTCCTATCAGAACCACATGGGAGCTGCCAACACACACGCGCCTGGACGGGGTCACCCAGGTGGGTTAGGAAGAACATGAGGTTCCAGAGAGGCCAAGGACCGCTCGCACTTAACACGGAAACTACTCATGTTCCCATTTCCAGAGCAAATCAAGGTCAAGGCTCTGTTGTGAATTCTCTGCTCTCTCTAAGTGGAGGGGGCGAGCCAGAACATGTCCCCCATTGCATAAAAAGGAAGCCAAGGCCAGAGGGGTTAAACCAGTGATCAATTCTCAACACTGGCCACACATTAGAATCACCTGAGGCGCGTTTAGACTGCTGATAGCCAAGCCAACTTCACACCAATTAAATCAGAACCGGGCATTGGTATCCTAATGTGAAGGTGGGTGGGTGCCTGGTTCTCAGCCCCATAAGGAGCCCACAGGGCCAATGGGCCTTAAACAGGCAGCACCTGGGAAGCTGCCCTCTCTTCTCAGGAGTGAAGCAGGGGAAGGACGGAGGGGCAGTCTGGGAAGGGAGAACCCCATCTCCTGTAGGCGACAGTGTGAGGGGGGTTCTATTATATTGAAGGGTCTCTGCCTGCCTGCCCCTGCTTCTCTGACCACTTGTCCTCATCCCAGAGGGACCTCGTGTTCTCCCCAGGAAGGCGGGGGCCTCCCAACACGAGCACCTGGGACTGTGGGAAGAATCCCGATTTTAGGGACAGTCACACCCAATACTCGTGCTGGGTCTGCTGCTTACTAACCGAGTGGTGTTGAGGAAGAGACCTGTGGTTGGAGCCTGTTTCCCCATCTGCGACATGGGGGTGATAGTATCTACTGCATACTGTGGGATTAACAGGCTAAAATATAGACATCACCCAGCAAACCGCCTGGCCACCCAGGGCCACAAAACTGCCCATTTTTTTTTGCCTCTGTCCTTGTACGACCACCTCCCTCTCAGTTAGGGCTCTGCAAAGCCTAGGGCTATCTGGGCCTGGAAGGGCCTTGGGGCCCATGAGCGCAGGAGGGAGGGCCAAATTGTTACCTCATCCAATTGCCGAGCGTGACTAGGGATGTCTGATACTTCTGCACGCACTCCTCCTGGAACACCTGCAGGAGCCTTTTGGCTAAATGACTGAAATTCACCCTGAAAAGACAGGGAAACAGAGGCACAGAGATAAGCAGTCAGAGCCAGTTGAGCACAAGTCTAGCATCCCTGGGTCTCCACCACCTAAATGGCCAGCCCCTGGGTCCACAGCAGGGCTGTCTCTCCAATGAAGAAAGAAATGATGCTCACACACGGGGATCATAGCAGTCAGAGTGGCCAGCACACCGCACATGTCAGCAGAGTGATATGGGAAGACAAGGGGACCCAGAGAACACACACTCCAAGCTCAGTCCCCGGAGGGCAGACGAGATGGTTATGGAGAGCGCGCGCGTGCGTGCGTGTGTGCGTGTGTGTGTGTGTGTGTGTGTGTGTGTAAAGGGGTGGGTGTAGAACTGGGGGGAGGGGGGAGTGGGCCCTAAATAAGCATTAAATCAGGGAGGGCCTCCTGGGAGATGAGAGCATCCAGGATACAGAGTAGCAGAGGGCAGCCCAAAGGAAAGCTCAGGCAGAAGTCAGAATTAGTAAGTGGTGAATTGGTGAGGGCAATCAGGGAAAGAAATCCTACAAACAATCTTGTTCAGAAGTAAATCCAGTTTCAAGACCGCTTCCGAGGAACCTCCCTCCGCTGACTCAGCCACACAATCTCCTCTCCTGGCTCTGACAGCCTGCCCCAGGTATAGTTAGCCCCCCTTCCTCCTGCCCAGTGACAGCTTGTGATCAGGGCCTTTCACCACTTCTTGTCTGGCAGAGAATGGCTCTGCCTTGGTGACACCCACCCTCCTGCTCACCCTCCTGACCGGGGATAGGCCACTCACTTATCCAGTTTGTGAATCTGCTCCTCATTGTAGCCAAGTCCTGAAGGAAACAGACAGAAATGATATCACCTGTTCAATCTGTCAACAAAACAGAATGCCAAGAGCGTTGAGGGCCGAACTACAGAGATGAAGAGCCTGGTTTGGACCCTGCTGAATGGGAACGCATAGTCCAGTGGAGCCAGGAAGGGCAGAATGACTGAATCAAGCACACAGGAAATTGCATTATGACAAGAGAGGGGCGTACCTGGGGCAGGTGTACCCTTCAGGTGAGAAGTGTTGGATGAGATGGGCCTTGATGGATGCTTGGTCAGCCCCAGCCCCTCAGCCTACAACCCTCCCAGAGTGACTGATCCCTACAGCCTGTTGGCCTCATCCCTAAACATTCAAGCCGCAGGCAGAGCCACTGGGCTCTGCAGCAAAGAGCTGGATAAGTCAGGCCACCACCCTCTGCCTCGCCTGCTAGGCCCAGCCACTTTTGCCAGAATGGCTGAAGTTTTCACTGCCTGGGTGCCTGCTGATGCTCTCTGTCTGCACTGGGGAGATGCTGCCCCCTCCTGGGCTTCAAGGGAATGGACCTCCAGGTCAGCAGCTTCCCCAGAGGAAATGAGGCAAAAGTTACCTTGCTGGGCTCCCCTCCACTCCCGAGTAGAAGAATCCCCTTCCTGGGTTCTTCACTGGGACCCTGCTCTCAGCCAACTGGACTTGGGAAGACCAAGCCACCAGTCCCAGCCCTGCCAATTATTAGCAGGGGTCTGTGCACAAGCGATTTAACCTCACCGAGTTTGCTTCCTCATCGGTCACACGTAACACACAGGACGGGTCTGAAGGTAGTGAGAGAGTGCCTATTATTCACTACTGAGCATTTATCAGAATGGCATCTTTCAAACCCCAAGGGTTATTCTTCCTGGTTCATTTTTAATTTTAGTAAAGGACTCTTGAAAAGCAATAGAAATGCAACTCTTTTTGAGGCTGTAAAGCAGGGCGTTTAAAAGCAGCTGGACCTTGATTGCTTGGGCCACTTAATCTGCCGGTGTCTCTCTGTCTTCACCTATAAAATGGAGGGGCTAATGGTACCTGGAGTTTTTATGAGCATTAAGTAAATTAAGAACACGCATAGCCTGTAAAACGGTGCCCAACACATGGGAGGTACTCGGAAGGGTAGTGATTATAGGATTATGAAATTCCAGTGATGGAGGCAGAAAAGCTTCCGAGGTCCTCCTAAAATTATACCAAAGGTGGCCACCTGGGCCTGCCTTGCTGAGTCCAAGGCCCTGCTGACTTCCAGTTTTCCTGTCTCAGCTTTCCTGTGTCCTGTGCTGCCCTTTCCACCTCCTCAGAGGCCAGACCCAGAGTCAGGACTGGGCTCCCAAGGAGGGATGACCACCTTCTAGATCCGAATGCCCAATATAATGGCCCCCTGACACATGTAGCGCTGAGCACTTGACAGGTGGTACTGTGACCGAGGCACAGAATTTTATCTTAATTAATGTAAATTTAAAAACTGAAGCCGTGTAAAATATTTTTTTCCCCATTAAACACAACTTTATTGTTTTGGTAAGACTACATTCACTTTGTTAAAAAATTAGCTTCTGGACAGATGGGTTCTAAGTGTAATATATACATGGGATTGTGAAGACTTAGCATAAAAAAAAGAATATCAAATGTCTCTTTGATAATTGTGTTTATATTGACTACATGCTGAAATGACAATTTGGATATATTGGGTTGAATAAAGTATATTATTACAATTAATTTCACCTGTTTCTTTCTACTTTTAAATTTCTGGCTACTGGAAAACCTCCAATTACATTCAGGGCTGGTATTATATGTCTATAGAGCAGTGCTCTTTAGATAATCCTAGGGATAGAAGAGAACTTGGCAATGAAGCCCAAGACTTTCAGTCAGCACATTAGGAAATACTCCGAGCATGGATGGGGAGAGAGTGGGTTGGGTCTTGGCGTGTTAACTTCCCCAACCCCAAGAGTCAACCAGGGCTTCCCCAGACTCCCTACAGCACCCAGCCCCAGCTCTCTCCTGGGTTGGACCCTCCCTTGCCTCAAGATGGCAGTCACCGGAGGCAAGCAGCTTTCCACCCCCTGAGCCTGTCAGTGCGCTGCCCCAGCCCAGAGGGTCTTCATGAGGCTTAGTAGATAACGCCGGTCAAGTGCCTGGCCCAGTGACTCTAAAAGGGATTTCTTTGGAGCCTCCATTTTCTGCAAAACCTGACTATCTTAGTGAGCCACAGACACAACGGATAGGGACATACTCCTTAAACTGTAAAGTGCCTCGCAAAAGTGAGGGGACTCTCTCAAGGGCCACTTTTTTTGTAGCACTCAGGCTCCAGCCGCTGCGTCCCCCATGCATGTCCTGTAGGGCCCCCACGTGGCAACAAGCACAGGTGTCAAGACTTCATGTCCCTCCCTGGTCTGTAGGCAGCTGGCAGCCAGGAGCTCTGCCTTAGACCAGCTGCAAACCTGGCTCCGCATGGCACCTCCGCAGCGTGAGCCCCCAGCAGCAACCCCGGAGGAGGTAAAACAAATAACTGGATATCTGGAGGGAAGGCAGGAAGAGGCGAGGGGAGGGAGAGCACGAGGAACACTTGGCTCTTCTCACGGCTCACCTGGCCTCATCCTGGATTTCTTGAACTGTTTGTAGATGAGGTGCATCTTGTCCAGGCAACACTGAATCTGCTGGATGCTGTGGGCAGGAGACAGGCTCCAGGTGACAGAAGAAGCAAATAGCACAGAGTACAGGCTGAGGGAGGGGATGGGATGGCGGTGGAAGGCGAGGAGGAGCTGTCTCCCTATAGACGAAGCCTCGTTGCCACGGTTTTGGGGGCCAATCTGGGAGTGGGGGTGACTCTCCTGTCTCTCAGCTTTTTCAGGTACTTTGGGGCCGGCCAGCTATCACTCATTCTCATGTTTAGTCTCTCTCTCTCTCTCTCTCTCTCTCACACACACACACACACACACACACACACACACACACACACGGGTGTTTAGTAAGATGAGACAGACAAAAAGCCAAGCAGGACAGGCAACAGGAGAGTGACCTTTGCTAAAGAAGCTTTGAGATTGGACCCCAGGAAGGAGGCTTGGGCCCTGAGACATGGGAGTCTGGCAGTGACAGCCTGGGATGGGAGTGGAGCAGAAACCTCTCTCTGGTCACCTGACAAGGGTAGAAGTGGTGCCTTCTTGGTATACACAGCGCCTGGCACATAGAAGGAACTTAAGTGATGAATCAACAACCCTTGTTTAAGACAGTAATGAATCGGAGGACCTCAGCGATGCCTGGAGGCAGGGGAGTGAGGGAGGTGACCCCTCAAGGACCTTCTCAACCTGGGGTTTAAGGTTATTATTGTCTCTTCCTTCCCCTTTTCAGGCTGGATACAAACACTTTGTTTGAGATAGTGGGTGTCTGTGTGTGTGTGGGGGGAGGGTTCTTCCTCACCCTCAGGCCTATTTAGCTCCACTTCCTCCAGTGACCCCGGCTCAGCCATTTGTGGACTGACTCTGGGCAGAGCCACACTTGTTCCCAGGGCTCTGCGGGGCCCAGGCAGCTGTCCTCCCTGAGAACATGGGGAGGACAAGACCTCAGATCAGTCTTATCCAAAAGGCTCAGGCGGATGTGTTCCAAATTCAGAATCGTTTTGATTTTAGAAAGGTAGATTCTGTATACACACTATACTGTGGAACTGCCCCGCGGGGCCTGGGGCAGCACCCCTCATTGAATACTCAGTCTTCAGAGAACTAGAAGAATATTCATTCCAAGTGGGATAAATAAGACTATAAAGAACCTCATGCCAAAACTGTTCAGCAAAAAGCGCAGTGCTTTTCAGAGCTCTTTGAATTCAGAACTGAGGACCTCGGGTTATGCATGGGGTCGGGGTAGGCTCTGAGAATGGCCTGGTCAGGCCATGCGAGGGTGGGCGTTTTACTTTTGTGAGCAGGGAGAATGGGGTCGTAAAGGCTGTAAATCCCTGTTGTTGGCCAAGAACATAGACTTTGGAGATGGGCGAGCCTTACCCGAAGTCCTACCTCGGTCATTTGTCATTTACTGGCTGTGACCCTGGACAAATTAATCTCTCTGAGTGAGCTTCCTCATCAAAAAAGGGGCATAATAGTAGGATTGTTATTGTGTTGAGGATTAAATGAGATGATATGACTGGTAGGACCTATCCAAGGGTCTGACAAAGAGTAAGGACTCTAAATTAGAAAGGGAACTAAGTTTTTTTACTTAGAACCATTGCACCTGCAAGATTTCAAATTCACTCTCTAAACTTACAGATGGGGGCAGGACCCCAGGTCCTCTTCTCCTTCGGGCCAGACTCAGGGGAGGGTCTTGCACATTCCAGACCACCCCCCACTACCCCACGCCCCAGCATCATTGCCAAGACAAGGAAGAAAGCGGCGGATGCCTGAAAAGGCCTCTGCACTGTTTGGACTGTGTGCCCCGCCCCTGCCCTCATCCACCAAGAAGGTAAAGCCCACAGACCTTCTGTCCTCATGTACCTGATCCCGGTTCTTCACTAGCTCTGAGCTCAGGCTGCTCAGGTTCGTCTGGATCTCTGTGATATTGTGGGGTAATCTGGAGAGGACCTCAGCCACCTACAGGGCAAAAGGCAGAGCCCCGTGGGGTCCTCAGCTCGGGGCTCCAATGACAGCCTGGCTGGATCGCTGCCCCCCGGCTCTGCTGCTGACAGCACCCCTTGCCCCAGTCTCACTCACATCCCGCAGCTTGGACCTCAGCTCTGTGACCCTCTTCAGTTCTTGGATGTCAGGCATCCTAGCTGTGTCGCTGAACCTCGAAGAAAGGACACATTTGGAGCGTTAGGAGACAGAGAGTTCCATGACCGCACATTGAGCATGGCACCTCTGGGACAGTTTTGCTGGCTTGTGGGGTGTCTAGGGAGTTTTGTGGTTGGGACAGAGGAACCAGTGTAAAGAGGCCCCAAGTTGTGACACTGTTGAGCATTGCCATGGATAAAGCCTGATGTAGATTGGAACAATCTATGAATATTCATGAGCCCACTAGGCAAAGCAGCTGTTAATGAGCTCCTGACAAGGAAAATTTGTAACTAAAGGAAAAGAATCCAGTTCCTTTCTAATAGAAGCTATAGTTCATGATAACCAATAGCTTTTTGATTAGAGAAAAGCTACGTTTTGTAGACTACTAGCCAATAATGTGCCAGGAGTTGGAATATTAGCATTGTGCTGCCCCAGTGAAAGTATTCTCTTGGGCATGGTGTTAAAACCCAGGGTGAAGATGGAGGCACGGACATCTGTGTGGTGCCAAAGTAACACCACGCTGCCTCTTTCACAGGGAAAATGTAACTAACTGCACACTACTGGAGTCTGGCTGTCCCAACCCAGTGGTGGGTGGATATGAAGTGCTCCCAGCATCATTTATGACGCACTTAGCCTAAAGCTTAACTTGAATCCACCTAGCCCTCACAACTCTCAGTTTATAGGAAATGCCGGGAAAGAAGAACAAGCCAAATGATATCCAGAGGAAGTGTAGACAAATCCAGAAGTTGTAACAACGGGTGTTGTCCCTCCAACAAGCTGATGTGTCATGAAGGGGGGCGGGGATGAAGCCATTTGTTTAGATTAAAACAGACTGAAGGAACATGATAACCAAACACAAACGGTGCTCTTAGATTAGATCCTGGTTTGAATGAAACCAGCCAGAAAAGAAAATTGGGGGGAGGGGGGTAATTAGGGAAATTTGAATATGGGTAAGTACTAGATGAGATGAAAATGCATGACCTGGAGGGAGAGAGCTGAGAAAAGCAGGTTATAAAGTAGCAGATACTGGAAACTCGCAGGCTGGTTGATATTATATCTATTTATATACATGTACTAGAGAACTATCTAGAAGAATATATACTACTAAGGTGTGACAACCTATTTCTGGGCGGTAGGCTATGCTATTTTTATTTCACTTTTGCTTATCTGTATTTTCCAACTTTCTACAATTAACATGTCCTGTTTTTATAACAATAACAATCAGGAAAAAAAGAATCCCTTGTGTTTGGCTTGGGACTGGAGGGGGCGGGGAGGAGAGCAGGGGAGAGAATTAGGAATGAAGTCGGGGCATGAAGGCCGGGCCGCAGCCTGTTTGCGCTCCATTCTATCTCTGGGGCCTGGGAAAACGTTGAACACACACGAGTTACTCAGTACATGACTGCTGAATGAGTTACTGAGTGCACAAATGGATTTGGAGGTACGGAAAACTTGATGGCCGAAGATGAGGCTGACCCAATCCAGTGGGGCAGGGAGTCAGGACATATGGGTTTGACATCTAGCTGTCACACTAGCCATCTGCATCATCCTGGGTGAGTCACTTTAGTTATCCAAGCCTCAGGTATTGCATCTATATAATGGGGAAATAAATCTCTTTCCTGCCACCTCATAAGGTGGGGAACCTCTAAGACAAAGGGCTTGACTAGAGGGCATGAACACACGCTTTTTTGGGGGTGGGGGTGGGGCAGCCCTGGGAGTCCCCAAGCCAGTCCTGGGTGCCTAAAGAGTGCCTCCAGATGGCAGCAGCTGCTAAGGAGGACCAGAGAGCTTCCAGACAAAGGCAAGGACACCCTACCAAGGAAGCCTGTCTTGGGGAGCCCAAGGCAGGAGGAATGCTCTGTGGGAGAGGTGAGTAACCAGGCTGAGCAGTGGTGGCCCCTTTGTGTCAGATGCTTGGGCTCTTCTAAACATGAACTTCAGCTCATTAAAATATCTCAGATTTCACTGTGGGAGAAGATCTGGCTTCAGAAGTTAGAAGAATCTACAGGACTAAGGACGTTCAGAAAAGAATTGCAAAGCATTGGAGCTGGAAGGCCTCAAAGATCATTCAATCCTCATTTTGAAAAAGAGTAAATAGAGGTGCAGGTTGGGAAAGAGGACAATGGCTTGAGTCAACAGCGAGTTAAGAGTCTGGCTGCTCAATGCTCTTTGAGCTCTCCAGATTCCTCCCTGGTGGAAGAGGGTAATATGCTTGGAAGCAGGCACACCCCTGACCCTGAGCTCTCTAGACACACCAAGCCTGCGAGGGAGCCTTGGAGACAGAATGGGAAAAACAGTAGTCAAGCCAGCAGATGCCTGGACTGCAGCCTGGGGCTAGCCTGTCACTCCCTCACACTCCTCCATCCAGGGTAAGTGGGCAGACAAATATTTCAGATGCTTTCTCTACACATTCCTTTCCTGTTCAAGAATTTACAAGAGGCCGATACGTCATTTTATTGGGAGGCCTCACCTGCCAACTGGACCTCTAGGACCTCCATGCATTCTCACCTTCCCTCATCACCCCTATGTCCTACTCAACTTCACTCGGGGATATCTTCCATTATAACTGTGGCCTCAATAAACCTCACCAGCACACCCCCCTGCAAATCCCCACAAACCCCTCAATCATGACCCCTTCTCTGTCTCTGCACAGTACCTTCCAACCCGAGGAACCTTTTCCCCGCCTCTTCCAGGAAGACCTCTGTGATTGCCTCTACCCATCTCTAGTCTCCCTTGACCCCAACCATCCTGCCCCACTCACATGCCCAGGAAGGGTTCTCTCCTCCAGGCCAGGAACCTCTTTCTGTGCCCTGGCCAGAACTCTGCTCAGAGGAGCAGTGTTGCTGACTCTGCAGCCCCTCATCTCTGTGAGCCATGCTGGGGTCTCCATCCCAGTCATCTGGAGACGCTCTTCCTCCTCCAAAACCACCACCACCCCATCTGTTTCATCATCAGCGATGTTGCTGCCAAACCCCAGAAGGAAAGCAAGGCTGTAGGGAGTCAACCACTGCTGGGAAACTCCCAGGACCTTCCTGGGGACAAAGGTGGGGGATGTGAGGGGTTGGGGACATCAGGCATGCTTGGCAGTCTCTACACACCTCCTCCGTGGGAAAGGCTCCAGCCACCATCAGCTTCCCTAGCCTGCAGAGCCCCCATCTCTCACCTGCATCTCGGCTCCATGCCCTCCAAAATTCAGGGGTTGTGCCCACTTCTCAGTAGTTCTCTGCCCCATGGAGTCTTCCTGTTTCTCATCACTGGACACTGCAGCTTGGTTTCATTCTCCCCAGTCTTTCCCTTTCTCCACCCATCACCCCTAAATAGCCAGTTAGAGCCGTGGAGGGCATGGAGTTCCGAGGGTGGGGGCAGGGAGTCCTAAGAAGGCAAGGACAGGCTAAGATACAGAGGAAGCCGGAGGAGAAATGTGGAGGTGAGACCACCTGAATTCCCATCCTGTCAGGTCCAGAGGACCACGTGTGGGTATGAGCGCTTCTCCTGGTGCAGGTGAGCCGTCTAACTCTTCAGAAGGGGTCTGGGAGGACAGAGGCCCCTTCCTCAGGCAGGGAGGCTGCTTTGATATTGGGAGAGGCAATGCCCATGGGTTCTTTTCCCCGGCGGTGAGGCACCCGGTGGTGGGGAGGTACGCGTGGTCATTTGACAGGGTGGGGGATGAGGGACAGGGTGGCAGTGCCCTTTCTAGTCTACCATGGCAGGGAAGGTGAGAGCTCTGGGTGGGGGGAGTCGAGAGGCATTGTTAGACATATTGAGGATGAGGGACAGGCAGAAAGAAAGAAGGGCTGAGGGGTCTGAGTGGCCTCGTGCCTGCTGCTGCCCCTGCCCTGGGTAGGATACCTACCTCTCGGCGCCCAGGCTGCTACTGAGGAATAGGAGAGCCATCCGTGTGACCTCCAGCGTCCGCCTGCAGGTGGCCTGCAGTGTCTCCCTGTCGAGGGGAGTCCGAGTCAATGCTACCTTCTCCCAGGGGACCTGGGATACTGTGCCCACAGCCCCAGCCCCAGGGGGTACTCACATGAACCAGTGCAGCCCCCGAAGCATCAGCTCCTGCCCGGCCAGCAGGGCCTGTGCCAGCCGCAAGGCCTGGTAGCCGGCACCCAACACACCCTGAAAACACAGGTGGGCATGGTCAGGTTCCATACCCCCCTGTCTCCGTGTGAATCCCCCTCCCTGCCACCAGGGGACCACCCCTAACCTTGGCGGTGTTGTAATCTGCCTGCAGGTCCACTTTGGGCATGAACTTGGGGATGTCCAGAGCAGCTGCAAACAAAGACCCTGTCTGAGGGGCTGCCTGTATGGCCCTAGATGAACTCTGAGCTCATCATTCCTTATTCCCGGCTCACACTCACCCTTCACCACCTAGCTTCAACCTGTTTCCCAACTCCTAGGGCCCCTACCTTTCAAGCTTTAAAGCGCACTTTGATGGGCTTTACAATTGTAGTCCCTTACTGCCCCCTTGTGTCCACTTTGGAGAACTACAGCCTCATGCCCATGGCCCTTTCTCAACAGCCCGAAAATGGCCCAGGAGTTTCAAGGTTAATTCCCCTTCCCAGACTTGGAGACCTGAGCAGGAGGATGGAATTGGCATTATTAAAATGAGAAGGAATGATATTTTTGCTAGAACTTGGGGTGCAAAGCTCTGGACCCCTAGCCACCTTCCCTTCTCTCCAGCACCTTGGGTTCCTGCTTCCTCTAACCCGAATTATGCAAGGCTTCCCCACCAATCGCCAAGATCGTGGAGATCACATTAAATCCAGACAGCCCTGTTTCAATTGATGTTTCACAGCTCCGTGGACACGAACGCCATCAAACCACTAGCCTGAGTCACATGGCATTCCAGAGTATTATGCAATATTAGAACCCAGAATTTTGGGTACCCTTTGGGCCCAAAGAAACACCCACAAAAGAAGTGAATCAACATCCTGGATCATAAACCCCTGCCTCTTGGAGGAGAATGTGCGGAAGAGACAAGATTCAGCCTGCGTGGCCCTACTCACGGTCCCTGAAGGCCAGTCCCTTGGGGGTCTCAGCAGCCATGCTGAATAGTGTCAGGGGGCTGCTTGCTGTTGTGTGGGCGATGTGCTGTGCTGAAAGGTCGGGTTCGAGGACACGGAGGTGACCCTCAAAGAGGTACTCTTGGTGCTGGGGAGCCACGTTGGTCTGCTTGTACACAGCCTCCAGGAAGATGGCTATCCTAGACATATCGGGAGTCCAGGGAGGAGGGGAAGTGTCAGAAGGCGGGATCCGGGGCTGGGGTACCCCAAACCCCAGCTCAGACTTCTTCCATGTAGAGGGTTCCGATTTTCAGAGGGAAGGACTGGGTGATTTTCTCTCTTATCAAGGGTGGAGAGACAAAAGGTATCATATCTTCCAATGGATGGAGAGAGTGGGAACAGAACTCAGGAGCCCCAATATCCAACCTCTGCCTTGGCACCTTTTCCTGCCACATGCCCATTAAAATTCCCCTAGTCCCATGGAATGCCCCAGGAATAAAGGGTTCTAAGAGCAGTAAATTTGGGAAACGTATCGCCACCACACACTCACACACGCCTCAGGGGCTTTATAACACACAATCGCTTTGTAGAGAGAGGTCACTGAATCTTTGGAGTCTAGCAGCAAGGAAGCCTATTTCTCTTTAACTGCAGAACCAGTACACTAAGACTGGATCCAGAAGCTTCCATATCTGAACACCCCACAGAACACTGCTTAGGATACACCCTTCTGCTTGAGCCTCCGGCACTCACGCCCACTTACGTGTTGTGGGCGTGGATATAGATGTGGTGCAGGACCGCCTGGGGTAGCGAGAAGACATGGATGATGACTCGCTGCAGGATGTCACTGGTCTCCGCAAAGAACTGGTCGAAGCCCCAGCACTTGGCCTGCTCCACCTCCAGGATGTTAGCCAGGATGGGCACCAGCTGGTTCTGCAGCCCCCTGCCGCCAGAGCATGGGGACTGTCAGAGCCAGAGCCCAGGCTTGTCCTCCTTGGGTAGGTAATTGGGGCATTTCATAAAACGTCCTGAAGAGCTAGGACCAAGGCAGGGGGGTGGAGTGTGATGGGGAGAAAGAGCTGGAAGGGTCGTTCCACCCAGATGGAAAAACTGAGGCCAGAACGGGAACGTGGAGGACCCAAGCAGACAGCAAGTGAGGGGCCCTGCAGGGACAGGCCTCAGCCAAGAGAAAAACACCCAGCCCAGACTTGGGTCTGTGTCTGCCCCTCCTGCAGGGTCCCACGCACATCGACAGCTGGCAGGTGATGGGCAGGGCGTAGCTCCACTCCAGGGGCCCGTTCTCCCGCCTCTGAGTGCCTGCGATGGCCCCGGCTGGCTTCTCTGTGGTGATCCGGTACCTGCGGTGAGTGAGGCAGGATCAGATCGGTGGGATCCCGAGACCATCACACTTCAAGGGATGACAAACTCAGCACAGAGGGCCCAGAGTACTGGCTCAAGGGACCCAGTCACGCGGAGATGGCCTGAAAATGAAATCTGAGCATCCTGGCTCTCAGCCAATAAGATCACCTTGTCTTGGTGTTCCCCAGTCAAACTCGGCTCCTCCCCACTGTCCACTTCCTCTCCCCCTGACCTCACTGCACACCCACAGCAGGGCCTGCCTCCATCCCTTTGCCGGTGCTGTGCTCGGCCTGAATATTCTTCCCCTCCACACACTGTTCTCGTCCTCGCCCTTCGAGGTCCAGCCCACACTGACAGCCCCATCCATGTCGGTCTCCGTCCCCATTCCCTAACCTCACACAGCTGATCCCTGAGCAGAGGGTGAGTGCATGGACCTTCCTGTGAATCCGCCTTAAATCTCTGCTCTGGGCCGTGCACTCAGTGGGAGCAGCTGCTTTCTTCGCCAGCTACACTATCAGGAAGCAGGAAACCTGGAAGGACCTTGGACCTGGGATCTGGATGCTGGGTCTTGCCCTACCTCTGCCCTTGGCAGTGCCACTGAACCCTCAGTTGAGATGAGGTGGGCAGCCGATGGGGGGAGGGCTAAAGGGAAGCACTGAACTCAGATAAGGGATTCTGATCAGTCTCCCCTCAGCCAGGTGGTGATCACCAAGAATCTAGAGGAGCCTGGGTGGGGTGGGCCAGAGGAGGACCAAAGAGTTAGAGGCTAAAGAGGAGACACAGCGGGCCGGTGGGGGAGACCCAGGGCCCGCCTTCCCTGCCCGTGGCCCACCGTACATGATCTCCTTGTTGCGCCGTGGCCCACCGAAGGGGACGAAGGGCAGGCTGCCGGTGGCTGCATGGTACAGGGTCACCCCAATGCTCCAGAGATCCACAGTCACCCCGAATGCCTTCTGCTGGTGCTTACGAAGCACCGCCCGTTCATACATGTCAGGGTGCTGCCAGAGAGAGAACCAGAGAGCAGCCACATGGAGGGAGAGGGTGCATAAGGGCCTCCGCCTCCATCCATCAGACTCCCTTCCACTGCCTTCGGGCAGAAACAGAACCATCTGAATCCACCTCCCTGGTCAGCTCAAACACTGGCATGGAGTTGGCCTCGCCAGGGCATGTTCATTTGCCCGGCCTCTGCCCTGGGGGATGTGGTGACCAGTGGTGTCCCATCCCTCATGAGAAGCAGGTCAGGGAGTTAATTGCACAAGGGAGGCCTGGCAGAGAGGCACGGGAAGGCTGCAGCACCGCCTTCTCCATCTTAGAGAGCAGAACGAATTCCGCTTGGGTGTAGAGGGTGAGATCAGACCCTGCCAGATGCAGGGGGATGGGACAGAGGCTTTCAGAGAGTGAGGGGCGAGCAGCCGCAGGGGAGGCCCTCAGCTTGGGGCAGCGGGTCCCCATCATCCCACTCACCAGGTACTCCTCAGTCCCGTAGACGGAGATGAACTTCTCGTCGTCATCCAGCTCTCGGGCGGCTCCGAAGTCCGTCAGCTTATAGATGCTCTGCCCTGCCTCCCCCACCAGGCGCATGATGTTCCCCGGCTTGATGTCACGGTGCACGATGCTGTTCTCTCGCAGATGGTTCATGCCGGCCACTGGGGACAGAGGAGGGGGCTGCTAGCGGCTCTGGCCGAGGACAGACCAGCGTCTGGGGCTTATCTTGGGTGGGGAGGAGGCTGTTCTTGGGTCCAGACAGGGTTCCCACTGGCTGACAGGGCCACAGGAAACGCAGGAGAACAGAGACGGGCACGGGGCGATGGCGGAGGGGGATCCCGAGGACACGGAGTGAGCGGGGTTCATGGGGAGTCTAAGAAACCAAGAGACAGCGGCTCTGGCTCCCCAAGGATGACACTCCCTCCCTGTCTATTTTATTACTTTGTATTTAAAAAAATTTGAAAGTATACCTAACATAAAACTTAGCATTTTAACTATTTTAAGTGTACAGGTCAGTGGCATTAAGTACATTCGCACTGTTGTGCAACCGTCACCACCATTCATTTCCAGAACTTTGTCAACCACCCAAAGAGAAATTCTACCTATTAAACAATCACTCTCAATTCCCTCCCCCTCAGCCCCTCGCAGCCCCCATTCTACTTCCTGTTTCTGTGGACTTGACTTCTCTAGGAACCTCACATAAGTGGAATCACACAATATTTGTGTGTCTGGTTTATTTCACCCAGCATACCATCTTCCAGGTTCATTCGCGTTGCAGTGTGTGTCAAAATTCCATTCCTTTTTAAGGTTCAGTATTCCATTGTGTGCAAACTCATACACAATTTTTCTATCCATTCATCTATCTGTGATGTTTGGGTTGTTTTCACCTTAGGACTATTGTGAATAATGCTGCCGTGAGTATTGGTGTACAACCGGCTTTAAATTTTATTTTTAAGTTGGAGTTTTAAGCTGCTGACCAGCAGGAGTCAGACTTTGGGTTCTGTCTATTCATCATCGTCTGTTCCAGGTCTGCATGGAGAGCGTCTTAGGTTCCGAATGTTCTTCTGTGTTTGAATACTTGTTTCAAAAGTGCCGCACCCCTCTGGGGCTTTGCCTTCCGCTGGGGGCCAGGCCTGTGGCTCATCAGAGGCGGGGAGGGGGCTCCCGGGTGGAGTCGGGGAGGGGCTCACCCACACAGCGCAGCACTACCAGGAACTCAGCCTCCGGCAGCCCGAAGGCGTTCTCGGGGCTCTCGAGCACGCTCAGCAGGCTCCCGCTGGAGCAGTATTCCATCACCAGCACCTTCTGCCGGCTGGTCCCCTGTGGGTGGGACAGAGGGAGGCATGGGGAGGAGGGCACGTCTGGAGGAGCTACTTCCTCAAGAGGAGGTGGCTCAGCCTAGGGCCAAAAGCCTTCATTCTCTAGGTCCCCGCTTCTGGCCTGGCTGTCCCTCCTTGGTTGGCCTCACACTGATCCCACACATCTGAGACTTAAGTCACCTTTTCCGGGAAGCCCTCTCTGCTTAGGCCCTACTTCCCATCCTTACTTCGCCGTGCACGGGCCCCAAGCCCCAGCATTCTTTACTCCAGTCTACAGGTGGCTGCTCAGGCTGCCCTGCTTATGCGCATGTGACCACGTCTTTTAGCGTGTGACCTGACTCTTCCCAGCCTGTGAGGGTCAAGGACAAGAGCATCTTCCTCTGACCGTGCACTGGACCCACCGTCTCCTCCACTGCAAAGAGCTTGACGATGTTCTGGTGGTTCAGCTTCCGCAGGACCTCAAACTCCCTCACCTGCACCTCACGGGGGCGCAGGTAGCTGGCAGTGTTGAAGACTTTCACCGCGACCAGCTCCCCAGATTTCTGCCGTGGGGGAGAACAGAAGTCCTACCCTGCCCTGGGGTGCAACCCCCAGGCCTCCACTCAGCCTCTCCCACCGGCCTAACACTGGAAACGAGCAGAGACAGCCGGGGTGTCCCACCCTCAGCTCCTCCCTTCCCCTGCTCGGAGGGTGAACAGTCAGTCCAGCCCTGGGAAGTGACAAGGGCTTGGCACACCTGATACCCGGCTAGGGACGGTGCGTTGTTACCATTACTATTGAGAATAACGCCAAGGGCGGCCAACACTCCCTGGTGTTATCGGCAGAGCTGGCGTTGGAGCCTGCTCTGTCTGGCTTCCGCTCCTCAGACAAGAGAGCGCAGTAGGTCTCATACATACAGTACAGCCCTGTGATGAAGGCAGGAGAAACCCAAACAAGCCCTACTTCCCACCTCTGCTGTCCCTAGTTCGCTGCCATCTCCCCCAGAGGTTGGCTTTGGGTCTTTATCCCTTTCTCTCCAGTCCCAAACTGTGCCTGGCAGAAGCACCATCCTGAGGAGTCCTGTGCAGCTCCCCACACCTCTGGCTGAACCCACAGTGTCTCCCCACCACAGAGTGTACAGCGCAAAGTCCAGAGGCCTCTGCCCAGCCACACAGCCCCTGGATACCCACTGGGGGCTGACTGGGCTAAGAACTTCCTAGACATGAGGGGGCTGCAGTGGGCTGGGGGGGACCCAGCCAGGCCAGTGGCCTACCTTGTTTCGGGCCTTGTATACACTGGCAGTGGCCCCCTGCCCCAGCAGGTCGTCGGTGTGCCACAGGTAATTGACGGTGCTCTGCATCTCCTGCCCTGGGCTGGCTAGCCACCTTCTGCCTAGAAGAAGCACATATTGGGGTCCAGGATTCCATCACTGGCCTGGGATGGACACTGGTGGCCTGACCAGTAGCTGTGCCCGACCATCCCATGAAGGGCTCCATGTAGCCGTTCTAGAGGAAGGGGGCAGGGGATGCATGAAGCACAGAAAGGTTAGGTAACGTCCAAAAGGAAGCACAGCCACCGGGCCCTCAGCCCACAGCCTGTGCCTGTCCCAGCACAGGGCATTCTACTTGTCCCTCCTCCCAGGTCCCCTTCAGCCCCTCCCCAAACAGGCAATTCTGCAGAGACAACCCCCTTTCTCTGTCACCTCTCCCAGGCACTGAGAATTCCTGGAATTGTCCCAGGAAGTAAAAATGTGCTTGAAGGAAGGGCCCCAGGTCAGGCAGCATCAACCACACCACTACGAAAATCTCCGGGATTGCAACATGAGCCCGGAGCCCCTCCCCACCCACTCGCCTGGGTCCACCACTTCCTGCTGCTGTGAGCTAACAGCTGTGTCAGGCAGCCAGCATGGCCAGGTCAACTGAGGAGGAATGGCATGCTGCAGAGAGCGTGTGTGAGTGTGTGCATGAGGGTGTGCGTGCGTGTGTGTGCGCGCGCGTGTGTGTACGTAGGGATGCGGGGATGCAGGAAACCATCAAATCCAAGGGCTCAGGAGTCCTGGGGAGGATCTGAAACCCTCTGCAACGTTCGTTTCCCATCTTTGCCTCCATCCCCTTCTCTCCAAAAGACAGTTCCTCTAACGCAATTGGCTCTAGCGTGTAGCCTTAGAAACTAAATTCAGTGCCTCTGAAAAATAGAGCCCCGGCTGGTCTTTATGGGAAGCCTGCGAGAAGGCGCATGAGAAGGGCCACCACCCCTAAAAGACTCAAATAAACCTGGACTAGACAGGGCTTCTTCCTCTTCCGACCTCTCGCAAGTTCTCAGCCCTTGGGGCACCCTGCCTGGAATCCTACAGTTCATGGGCTTTCAGACTTCTGTCTGTCATTTCTTAAAAAAACGCAAATTTTGAGAACGTCAATTCCTTGAGCCAGAGGCCACTTCAAGGGATCAGTGGTCAATTCCTAGTTTCAGATCATGTATTAGTGTTTGCATTTTACAGAAGCAACTGAGGTACCGAGGGGTCCCTGAAGACCATGTACTAGCTCAGCTTGACTGAGCTGGTCAGGTCTCCCCACCACCCCAGGCTGAGGAGGGATCAGCTGGGAGCTTGCCGGGGTGAAGTGGGCAGAGCACACTGAAATCAAGGCCAGGGTCTCAGAGGCCTGGGGGGCAGCAAGCCCTGGGTTCTGCTTCTGGTCCTGCCCAGGCTGTGCCTAGGAGCTGATCGGCAGGACTGCTCAGCTCTGCGTACTCTGTGGCCCTAGCACAGCGCCTGGTGCGTGGAAGCGCTCCATCTCCTTCAGTGGTGGTTGGATGCAGGGGTGGGGGGGGGTGCCTGGGAGCCAGCAGCCCCTCCTCCTCCTTCTTGGGGCTCTGCTGTGAGAAATACACTTACCCTGTGCTCTGAGCAGCCCCGGATCAGGCAAAGATTCTCCCTGTCAAGTGTGTGTTGTGCTTTCTGTCTGTGGCAAGTCCAGGAGCTGAGCTACACCGGAAAGAGGAGGGCGGATAAGAGGCACCCCTGAGAGTGCTGCTTGATTTTCAGCTTCCATCAAAGGCCACCGGCCCCAGCCCTTTAACCCTTTCCTGTTTGTCACCTTCCCCCACAGGGCTGGGGCTTTCCAGCCCTATTCCCCAGCGGCTCCAGGAGGCTTTCCACTCCCAGGACTTGGGCCAGGGAGGACCCCGGGAGAGAGGCGAGCGCAGGCGCCAGAAGCCTGGCAGGAAAAAGGTGGAGAGAACTGAACCTGGCTCTGGGGCGTTGGGGAGCAGAGCCAGGAAGGGAGCATTGTAGTCAGATGGCATCGCTCCTCTGCGCCACAGTCCTCCCTGCCTCTCACTGGCCTCCAAGCAGTCCTTTGCAAGGGTGACCACGGGAGATGCAGAGAAGGGCACTGCCGGGGCCCCCAGCAGTGGCAGACAGGCACAGAAAGGGGACATGGGGCTGGGAGAGCCACTGCCCACACGCCAGCACCAGACAGCCCACTGGGTGCCACCCTGCAGCTGCCCCACCCACCTTCCCACAGGGACCCTGCACACTCACCCCATCTCAGCTGCGGGGCATGCAGGCTTGTGGGACTGGGTGGCACTCCCAGAGCGTTCAGGGTTCGCTGTCATCCATGGCCAGTGCCCACAGCATCCTGGTGGTCATGGGCCCCAGGGACCCAAAGACTGGGCCAGTGTTAGTGGCCGAGTGCCACCGGAGTTGCTGGGAGCGCTGGGAGCTGAGGGTTGTCTCCCTTTGAAAACTCAGCTCCCTCCCAGCTGGCTAGCAGCGGCTCTTACACTTCCTGATTTTGTTCTTTCTCTCTCTCTCTTAAAGAGACAGGCAGCTGGGCCACCGCCTCCACTCCAGCAGTCAAGAGAAAGAGGGTGCTCTGGAGTTCCCAAGTGGAAGCTATAGGACAAAGGCATCTGAGCCACCCAGAGGCTGTGAACTGAGGCTGGGCCGCTGTGGCAGGCCGCGGGGTGCTATTTGGGCATCTCCTACAGTTCACTGGAGCAAGGACGTTTAGGGCTTGGCCCAGTCAACAGAGCAGGTTGGGCAAGTTAACCAAGTGGAGAGAGCTACCTGGAAAGACCCATGTCCCACACCCAGGAGCCCCAGGAGGTCCAGAACCCACGCCGGGGCACTCCCACGAGAAACGAGGGTCTGACTCATCTTCTCAGGGAGCCTGCAGAGGCTCAAGAGCAGACACTGGTGCCCACATAATGCTCTCCAGTGTGACCTCGAACACAGCACACAACCCCTCCTAGAGAGTTTTCTCATCCAAGGCATGAGGATACTAACATTCACTCTGTTGGTTTTGTGGATGACATGGAATAGTATATTTGGAAATGCTTGGGAGACTAGAAGGCACTTTACAGACAGGCACTGAAGCCATCAAGGCCCATACACCTTCAGTAATTTGCCCATGATCTTCAGAGACTGCTGGGGCTGGGACCTAGGCATGCCCACTTCCCAGCCAGGGCTTAATGTCCCAAAGGAAAAAATCCTAGGAGGCTGCAGAGGTCTGCCCTGCTCTGGTCAGCTCCAAGGTGACAGTTGGATAAGAAATGGTTAAAACCAGGAAATTCCATGTTTCTATAGCATGCTGGAGGGACTTTCCCACGGCCACACCTGGTGGTTTCCTCTGGCAGCCCCACCCCTACCTAGCTAGCACAGTGACACCAGAGCAGGAGCCTAGCTGGAAAGTGCCTCCTGCTCAGATAGACACTCCTGCCAATAAGCGGGCAGCCAGAGGTGCTACCCACTGGTTGTGACAGCAGGACCAAGAGCAACGTTCCCTGAGCTCCTCTTGCTCTCCACCCAAGATTCCCAGCTTTCCATCTGCCGTGGGCAATGGTACAATTGCACTTCCTGGGCACCCTGTGATGGGGTGGGGCCACGTGACTTCCCAACCAACCCCCATGTAATTGCTGATGCAAGACCCACCCCTTGTACCCTGACAGTGTGACTGTTACACAAGGTGACTGCTCTCTCAATCTGGGTCCCTGAGTGACGGTTATGAGCAGAGCCCCTGCTGGCCCACAAGGGACATGAAGCTTTGGGGAGAAATGTACAAGTTGTTTTAAGTCACAGGTTTGCAACATAACCTAGTCTATCCCTAAAAGTCTACCTATTTTTCCCTGATAAACCTGCTCAGTCCCCACCAGCACCCCTACCGTTCTCTCTCCAGCAAGCCCAATCTCTCTTTCCCAGTGTCTTAAGTACCCTCAAAAGCAATGAATGTGTCTAGGACCTACTAGGAGACAGGCACTGTGTGCAGAGGACACAAAGGCGAGACCTAGGTGCACCGCAGGAGCTGGGGTTCAGGACAGTGTGGTGAATGCTCTGAGAGATATACTTCAGCAGGTGGTGATTCTGTGAACCTGGGGGGCTGGGTGGTCAAGAAAGGCATGCCAGAAGACAGGACGCTCCACCAGACTTTGGAGAAAGGGGAGCTAGGCAGATAAGTGGGGGTCAAAAGTAAGGAATTCTAGGCAGTGGAAGACGTGCAGAGGCACGGAAGTATGAAAACAGGGTGACTTGTTCAGGGCACCACACATGGTCAGGGGAGAGAAAAGGGATAGAGGTGGGAGGTGGGCTGGAGCCCTGTGTGGTGACAATTTCGCTGGGCATCCTCTGTGGGGTCACGTCCTCTGTGTGGACAAAATGAATGAATGTCTTGCCTGTGATTTTTGAGCTGCTGGTCCCAGCTGGGCAGCGTGGCTATTGTTTTTCATCTGGGGTGGTGCAGGGGCCTGGCGCTCCTGAAGGGAAGAGGAAGTCTGAAAGAGGCCTCACCACATGTTCTCAAGTGGCTCTGAGGAGTCATAGAAATAGAAGTGGCAATTCAGAGAGGCAGGAAAAGGACCAGAGGTGGGAAGACGGGGTCTTCGATGGCAGCTCTCAGGAGAAAAGCTCAGGTCTGCCCTCTCCAAGAGGAGGCCGAGAATACAGTGGACGGGATGGGAGCTTGGCCATCACAGACGTTGGCGTCCTGACTCTACCACTTGCTTTGCAGACCTTGAGGAAGTCGCTGGACATTTCTCAGTGTTTGTCTAAAACAAAGAGATGAAGTGCCTGCCACCTGGTAGGCCCTGAGTAAATACTAGTCACCTTTTCTGCCTCCAAGGAAAAGGGAAAGGTCAAGGCAGGTGGGGCTGCGGCAGAGGGGGTGTTGTAAGCCAACACAGCGCGCAGTGTGTGCTCACTCAGGCATTTACGAAAGGCTGAGTGATGAGGTTTCGGAGCCCTTGCCACCTTCACCAGTCAGCGCTGCTAGGACCTTTGCTAGAGCGGGGAAAGAGGAACACACCCTGAAACCAGACCTGGCACCACTCCTCCATGCCACAGTGGGAAAAGATGCTCTGGGAGCAGCAGCACTGAAGGAAATTGGCCAGAGCCACCATGTGCTGCGGTCTTCCTCGGCGTGGAAAATGAGCGTTTCACGGATTCCCTTAACTCTTCAAACCCCCTCCTCACCATTCCCTCCCACTCTCTCAGCTCAAGCCTTTGCCTTAAAACTTCACGGAAACAAAAGAAGCAATCCAAAGGGAACTAACTCCCATGTCTTCTCACCCCCACATCCACTGCCTGCCTTGCATCACACGTGCCTCCTCTCCTGAGACAGAAGTGCCTTTTCTCTGGCCCTGGCCAACCCTCTCTTGCATATTCACTCCTGCCACTTAAAGGGGTCCTGCCCTTGAGCAAAGATGCATCAACGTTGTCCATTTCAAAAACAAAAGCCAGGTCCCTTGACCCCTTCTGATGCCCCCCATTTCAAAGCAACACCTCCGAGCTGCCAAGAGTTCCTGACTCCCCGTTTCTGTTCCATTTGCTACCCAGCCCACTCCAATGCGACTCATTTCCTCTCTACCGAAAATGCCCTTGTCCAGGTCACCAATGATTATCTTTCCTTGCTGGCGTCTTCTTACCACACCAGCATTTGACAGCCGATTCCTCCCTCCAGTTGAAACATCTCCTTCTCTTGGTTTCTGTGACACTGCTCTCCCAGCCCCCTACCTCTTGTCACTCGCTTCCTCTGTCCTTTGCTGGCTCCTTCTCTGTCGGATTTCTAATTAATGATGCCTTCTTTTTTTCATTTATATGTCCTTCCTGAGAATCTTAGTTTGAACACATCTATAAGGTAATGGTGCCCTGATTTGTTTTCAGGTATGATCTGTCCCTAAAACTCCATATGCACATAACCAAGCGTCAGAACTCCTGATTAAAGGTGCTACCCGTCCCCCCCGATAATGATTGTTCCTGAGCAACCCAGACACTATTTTACTACACTGTTTCATTTTCATTTGCTTATTTATCTGTTCTTCCTGAAACTAGAGATCTCCATTATCTTCCTGAAACTAGAGATCTCCATTATCCATTTCTCCTGTTCAGTATTGTAAGACAGTGCTTGGCACACAGTGAGGCTTCAAGTTTGATTGATCAGTGAGTCTTTGGCATATGTAATATGCCAGGGTTGCTAACTCCTGAGTATAAGGCAGCTTCATATACCTACAAATATAAATATTTAGATTAGCTCATTATAAAGACCATTTCCTAATTCATACCCCCTCCCCCTCGCCTCCTTTTTTGGTTTCTATCTGGGTGGAATGGGCCTGTGTTTCGATTGTGTTGTCACTTGTTTCCTCAAGCTCCCATCAGAATGTGACATAAATTAAGAGGATCCCAAAAGAATAGCCCACTTTTGCCTTCGGATTCTCTGAAAATCAGATTCTTTGGTCCTTGGCTCACAGCTGAAGACATTAACTCCATCTCATAGCCCGTCACCTCCACTCAGGAGTGGGAGCGCATCACAAGGTGACAGGACAGTTAAAATCAAGGGGCCAGTAAGAGAAGCTTGAGGTGTAGCTCTACCATTAAAGTGAGCGAGGGGAAAAGACGACAGGCTGGAAGGGTATGAGCACTGCGTCAGACATACAAGTGACAGGTGGTGACAAGCCTCATATATGTAAAGTGTCCAGTTGAGGGCCTGGGGTAGGACTCCGTGTTATCATTGAACACTGGGCATACCCTTGGATAGATTTCATCCATCGGCAGGGGCTTCTGGCATTAGAACGAGCCCACTAAGAATAAGTGTGGATCCTTAGGGACTCGAGGTTGCATTTAAGTTATCTTTGAATAACTTCACCTTCGAACTTATGATCTGCTAGAATCAAAATCTGAAGGAAAGAAAGCATTTCTCTATGCCCTCCTCCCCCACCCCTGTACTCAACACCAACAGCACAAACCTACTGGTCAGCTCTTCTCCCAGGGGCAGGGGGCTGCTGAGGGCAGAATGACTCAGGGCTTTGGCTGTAGAAGCACTAAGACCTCCAGTCATCTTTGGCTGTGGCTGGCAAAGCTTCCAAGCAACTTCGTAGGCCCTGCTCCTCCAGGCAGGGAAATCTGACTAGAGATAGAAATGGAACAGTCCTCGTTGAAAATATGGGAGGTGGATTCTGTGGAGGAAATGGTTCTCATGGCAACAGACTGCCCAGTGGAGAGAGGGACGTCTTTCTACACCACCTCTTAGGTTCCTCACATGGGCTAAATAGAAATGCTAGGGGGGAAAAATCCACATTCTAAATGTAGCTATGCTGCGTCTGGTTGCGGGAGGGAGAAGGCGGCTGGCTCCCAAGGTCACTTAATGTCTCCTTCTGTTGCCAGGCAGGGTTTGGTTACCATGGACAAATCACAATCCATCCTAGGCAGCGGGACTCGTGGAGTGGAGGTCTCAGGGAGTGGAGAAGGGATACAAACTGCAGCATCGAAACCTAAAAACGTATTTTATTTCGAAGTTGTGCTTTGGATTTTC